CCACCAGAGCACGTATCTCAGTGAAAACTCTTAGTGAATGCTTTCATTTTTAGACCTGACTTACACCCTGATTTTCATGGCAAAACCGCATGTCTCTAGAATCCCACATACACAAAAACTATTATAACTCAACATATAAATTATTGTATTTGGCACAGGAGTGTACATAATAAATATATGAATACCTTTTACACCAGGGAATCCAAGAAATCCAGGGTGCCCTCTAGCACCAGGATAGCCTGATCGACCTTCTATTCCCTGCAAAACATGACATCAGTAATAAACAAAAGCAGCATCTTCATACAATGAAATACAGTTTTGTTCAGAATATTCAAAGCATTATGTTCACAGAATATGGTGCAACTAGAACTATCTGCTCCACTTCTAAGCATATTAGAAATAGCCATATTATTGTTCATATTATCCTGTAATACAAAACAGCCAAGGAAATGACATAACAAGAATTAAAAAAACCATAAAAGTCCATAAAACCTGCTTCTCATATATATTTTGGTATTTCCTCTATTACAAGGTGTTTTTGTGAAAATGGGTTGGAGGGGATGTTTGTTTGGGTTTGTTGCTTGTTTTGAAATTTTAGAGGGTATTTTAATTTTCATGGTAAAAGCAGACTATCAATGAGTAAAGAAGCAATATTCCCCTTTCACTGACTTTGGGACCAGGAGGGCCAATGTCACCGGCTGGGCCCCTTGGCCCTGGTATTCCATCTGCCCCTCGGACACCTTTGCTTCCTTTCATGCTGAGAGTGGAAAGACCAGGAAGGCCTGGAAAACCAGGAGCACCTATACAGAAACATCAGAGTAAGTGAAGACTCCTGCCAACAGCTTTTCACATAGATTACACACAACACAGTGCAACAGTCAGTGGCTCCATAATGATAGTCATGTTTAGCACCTCAGTGATTTCCAAGGAAATATATACACTTAAAAAAAGAAACCAAGTTTTTCCCAGCTTGCTAATTTAATCTAAGATCAAAACTTACAGTATTCTTTTAATACATGTTTATAACACTGCCTGTCCTCACTAAACCATGTCCCTAACTGCCACTCATGCTATCTCACTTTGTTAAAGCTGGATCTCAGCTGCCCTACCGACCACATGGGAGGAAAGCAAGATAATGCAATTAGGTGGACTTGAAAGCTTAGAGTTATTTTAATTTAAATGCCACTGCATAGATCATGTTGTTTGCAATGGTAATATTGCATTAACTGCTAAAGGGACCTGTTTAATTATGAAACTCTCTTGGGGAAATATCCCTTTCATCCTTGAATTCTGGATAGGCTGACTTCTACTTTCAATTATCAGTACATCCTTTCAGACAAAGAAGAAGTTCCAACAACACACCTGGTCTTCCATGTGCACCAGGAACACCTCTGTTCCCTTTTTGGCCAGTGATTGCCATGCCTGTGGTGCCTTGAAATCCAGGTAACCCCACTAAGCCAGGAGGTCCAATGGGTCCTTGATCTCCCTGATGACCTTTCACACCTGGAGGCCCAGGAAAACCAGGCAGTCCCATGTCTCCTTTGACTCCTGCAGAGTGTGAATATTACATATGGGGAAGGCTGTCAAGACAGTGAGGTGATGTGACAACTCCGAATTTGTGTTTCCTATATGGCAAAGGTGGAATTCAGCCCTTGTTTTTAGTACTGAGAAGTCTAAACTTTGCTAACCTAAAGCAAAATAGTTGTGACAGGACTCACAGCAAAGTACACACCACTTTTTTAAATTAAAAAAACCTCCCACAAATTAAAAAAACCCCACTCCACTTCAGAGATTGCTCATCCCAAGGAATAAACTTGAGAGGAGGATAAACAGACCACAGAAGGGAATATTCATTGATGAATAAGTAGAAGAAATGCTTCTTTTTTCATTAGAACTAACAAATCCTTTTAAACTAAATCCCAGATGGAAGCATCAATATGAATGCAACAAAATAAGAGACTATTCCAAAAGGATATTGCTCTGAAGTTGATCTTGGAGTGCTTTAATTTTACTTTTTTAAAGTGAAGCAAATCAATGGAATTTCTACCAGCACTAGAAATACAATGTAAAACCTAAAAAATGGGAAGTCCCTTCTGTCTGTCAATATAAAAAGGAAAATGAACAAAATTAAAATGCAACCACTGCAGCTTTCTCAAAGTATGCTTATTATCCAGAAAGATCTTGTTTTCATAAAAGCATACTCTGTTAATCAAATTATATATTGCAATGAAATTTTAAAAGCTCTTGAATGTGTATGCCACTTTCACAAGACCACAGAAGTCAGCTTCTCTATTTCCCTTTTACTACAATCTAAACTTTACAAGCACCAACTCTTGACATTTAATATATAGGACCAAACCATTAATCAAAAGCACAGAATTATTCTTCATTTCCTCTGACACTCTCAGTGCCATTTCAAGCACTGGAAAACAGGAAGGGACTTGATGATGGTTCCGGGATTTAAAAATTAAACTGTTGTTTTTTGAAAAGACAACTCACCTCTACGTCCAGGAATACCTGGAACACCAGGGATCCCTCTCCCTGGGGGTCCTGTAAAATATTAGGTAACATTACACTCACAGTCCAAAATAATTTTTAGAAAACATCACAGTCTCCTAATATTTCACAATTTTTTTTTCAGAAATCACTGAATCGAAAGGTAGAGTTTAGTTGTATGCAAAATGAAATGTATTATTTCCATTTCTTCTATACAAAAACACAAATTAAAATGTTAACTTTTATTTATATTTATATTTATATTTATATTTATATTTATATTTATATTTATATTTATATTTATATTTATATTTATATTTATATTTATATTTATATATGTTTATATTGACTCTTATTGGTCAATCTTATTTGAGATACACTCTACGAAAAGAAGCTTTTTCTTCCTTTTCAGAGAAAAAAACCATGCATTTAATTTAGCTATTAAGACAAATAGAAAAATAAATGTAAATACCTACAAAAGAAAATACGTTCACAGTGATTACTTCAAAGTTAACACGAAAAGCTTTCTAAATACTAAGAATGTCCTCTCAGTATCTTCTTGATACTAACATGCAAAGAAATACTTTCAGTGTAAAATTCTGCCAGAATTCAGTGTAGGACTAAATCTATCTGAACATTGATAACATCAGGAGTGACTTTTAAATGAAAAGTTTCACAAACCAAGGCTTAGGTCATGGCAGCTTTCTCTATTCATGCAGGAAAACACTGTGATTCCTTTTATTTTATATTCATGTAAGACAGAAGATGCCTTTGAAAGGACTTTGGTTCTTTTACTCTCTTTGAGGTTAAACCCATAAGAACAGTTAACAACAGTACTTTGACTCTTGCAGACATGAACATTTTTAGGCAACATTACAACACATGTAGAATAGAGCATTTATAAAGCACTTGGGTTGTTGACAGCATGTACAAAAATTTTACAGAAAAACACGTATAACCTTCTACTTATAAACTTAGCTTTGACTCCACAGAAGCTCCTTAGTAATCCTTCCCAAATAATCCTTGTCACTATAATTACAGAAAAAAAAAAACAATTGTAAAGTAGAAGGAAAATATTTCCCGGGTGTTACCTGGTTCTCCCTTTACTCCTGGGGGACCAGGCATACCATCCCGACCCTGAGTACCCCTTTCACCAACAAGTCCATGTTTTCCAGGGACTCCAACAGCACCTGTGAATTACAATGGACCACAATATAATTTTCACTTCTGTAATTTTGCAGTGAGAAGATTTGACTCCCCTATATTAAAATTTAATTAGCTCAGCTATTTCAAAGATAGAGGTAGCTGTGTTGGTATAGAACAGCATATAGCTTGTATTGAGCTCACTGAACTTCAGTGGATTTAACACCCCCACTATTTTCACAGACATAATATAACCTTCAATGCATGCCTCTCTGCTGCTACATATACACGCTGCCCCTGAGGTATGTTTTTAATTCTGTTTTAGTTCTGTTGCTTTAGCAGAAAACTGCAACTCTGTCTCTTTCTACTCCAGTTAATTTTCTTCTTTTCAATTACTTATATCTTAATTTATTATTGTCTTGTAATGTGTGGGCATCGCATCTTGAGATCCTTGGATATGTACTTATAAATAAAAAGGGGCAAAAAGCTTTCCAGTAATGAAACAAAATCAAAACTTTTTGCCTCAGCTGAACTGATAACATTGAAAAGGGGCTGTTTAAAGGTAAAGAAAGCCTCAAACTGAAATGAAATCCCAAATCCAGGGCAGTGATTTAGGAGAGATGCTATATACCATACCAGGAGGGCCTGGGACTCCCTGCTGTCCTGGGCGGCCCTGGGATGCTTTATCACCAATATCTCCAGGGGGTCCACACTTCCCTGTAAGAAGAAGGAGTTTGCCAGAGGGGAATCACCCCTAGATCCAGACTCAGTTTAAGAGCTTTGCTGTTGTTTCTGCTTTGGCCAGCTGCAAAAGTTCTCCAAGTGACACAAGCTGGCCTGGCTCTCCTGACCACAAAGCAGCTGTTGAGGTTTAGAGCAGTCAGAATAAATCAGTGTGCCACCCCCAGGCCCCCTGTGCAGTTGGAGGAATTATCTTCTTCTACAAGCATGTCACCAGCTTATTATCCCTCCAAAAGTACCCCATACCTGGGATTCCTGCACCCCCAGTTTCCCCTCTGGCCCCACGTGGTCCTGGTACTCCTTTAAGTCCTGGATGACCCTCGGAGCCCTTCTCTCCTTTGCTGCCAAAAACTCCTGGGGGACCTGGATCTCCCTGGGAAACAGTTGCATGCACACAGGTAAAGAATCACAGTGAGGAATAGAAAAATCACATGCAATTTTAAAGGTCAAGTACATGTAATCATGTTTCATTAAGATTTTCAGACAAAAACCAAAGCAGACTAAATACGAGCTCTTCTCATAACACTACTGATCTTTTAGACATAGCTAAGATCTATTTTTAACCTTTACAAACCAAGTTGTTTTTAGATATTTTCCCTGGCACAAATTTCCCTTCAATTTTATTCTACCAGCTCTTCTTTTGATCCAAACATCCATTCCTTAGGTAAGATGCAGCTATACAAAATACTGACATGCATTTTTTTTTTCTTGGAATTCCTAATAACGTTTTTGACAGCAATCTCATTGGGGCTACCCAGCTCATACTGAGAATAAACAAATAATTTAGACAGATTACAGGATTTATAGTGGAATTTACAACCTCAGCCACACATTTCAGATGATCTCATAGGTAAAAAGATTTCCAGTTATTCAACAACCAGAACATGTGGAGTTAAACTATCCAACTGATCTTACTTAAAAATACTGCTTTTTTTCTTAGCATTATATATATATGACCAAACATGACATATACTGAGTGTAATACATATTAGTAAGAAAAAAAAACTTGTGCAAGGATATTACCAGACTATCAAAATCAAACAGTACAAGTTTAGAGTACAAAGCTTTTGCATTTGCTAAAATGAGGTTTTGATGTACTTTTTAATATCCTTGTCCTTAATGAATTAGGAACTTTTACAGAAAGTTACTTCAAGATATTTCATCTTTATTAAATAAGAAATTCTTGCACAAAAAAGTGAAATATAATGAAATAAATTTCTCCTGAGTAATGACACAATAGAATTTTCGAATTTCTTACCACTAACAAATCATCTATTTCTGCAAATTCTGCAGCTCTTGCTTACATGTTGTTGCTCTGTTTCTATAATCAAAGGCTCTGCCTAACAGGAAAATTTTTCTATTGCCTTTATACCTTTGGACCAGGTTCTCCTGGAGGCCCAGCAGATGGGTACCCAGGATCTCCTTTGTCACCTGGAAAGCCACCATAGCCTGGTGGACCAGGGTCCCCTGATGGTCCTGGAAAGCCTGGAGATCCTTTCTGGCCTTTTGGACCTGGAAAAATACCAATACCAATACCATTCTTAAAAGGATCATAATTGCATTTCACACCTCGTGTTTTGTGAGCTATTGCTCATATACAGAGATATTAATTCTTCATTAAAGTAATTTAAACTGTGATTTTATTTCTAAAAAGAGGTTCTTACATGTAACAATAGATAAATTAAAGAATTTAGATAGAGAGAGAGAACTGCATTCGGCAAGTCAAGTGAATGCTGGGGTGAAGATAAGTCTATGGATACTAAAGAATAAATCCCAGACTAAGTATTGTGTGGTGTGCTGACAGTAACAGCTCAGACCTGTGCAAGTGCTTCTATAAAGCTCTATGAATTTGTAATATGTCTTGAGAGAAAATGACCTGGAATTCCCATGTTCCCTTGGTCTCCGAGTGCACCTGGGAATCCTTGTCCTCCAGGAATCCCTGGAAGACCCATAAATCCTTTGGCTCCTGCAAGATGAAGAAATAAATGTCATCTTCATACATTTGCTTTAGACACTGGCTGGATGTTAGAGCTGCCATGGATACAAAATCCTCTACCACACACCTTCTCTTGGTGTTTTACTATTTTATAGATAATCAACATGGAGCCTATTGCCCCAGATAAAGATAAAATTATCATTATTGCTTTCAGAAAGTCAAGCAAATAACAAATACCTTATATATCAACATTAAGGTTGTGACCACAGCACTTGGGGCAGCCACTGCAATATATTTTAGCTGAATTTGATCAAGATCATGAATTTGTATTTATGCACTGGACTCTCTTTCATTGCTTGAACTGCAGCTCAGTTTAGTTTCTGTGCATGGAACAATCACATTATCACTTACTCATTATAGATTTCTCATGACTAGTACATAATAAAAAGCTCCTGAGTGTGATCTAAGCAATTTCCCCCCCACTCACTACTTATCTGGAGATTAATTTAGCTTAATTAGCACTCAGTTTAATGACTAAAAGATCCAGATGCATCTAGAATGTTCTCTGAACAGTCCTCCTAAATTCCAGCGTGCCAGTGCCTGACATTTTTAAACCTGCTTTTCATTGGCAATCTGCTAACTTTTGAAATATAAGTCAAGTATGTAGGTTTTGAAAAGGGAAATACAATTAATCTGAAATTTAAAAAAAAATCCTAAAATATTTTTTGTTCAAAATTGTAATATTTTAGAATTAATTTTTAAATTATATTGCAAATGAAACTTATTTTTACTTTTTAGAAATATTAATTTTCTTATTCATTGGTTTCATCAGCTTTTAAACCTTAATGTTATTTAGGATTTAACATTATTTTCTATTTGTCATAAACAATGTTTATACTTGAAAGAAAACAAAGAATCATTTGGTGTCAGCTGCTGTGACTTTCAAACAGCAGCTTTCGAAATTGCTCAAGTTTCAGAATTCTCAGGAAAGCTGAGAGTTAATAGAGAGAATGTAGTGCTGCTTCTGGAGTGGTGTGCATTGGAGCAGCAGTACCTCCCTGTCCACATGGCACAGTAATTTTCAATATTCATATTCCATACCTGGTAGACCAGGCATTCCTTCAGACCCATCAACACCTGGGGGACCTTGCACACCAACATCTCCTTTGTCTCCCCTTACACCCATTTGGCCTTGAACTCCTAAAATGAAGTTTCATTTAAAAAATATTACGAAACAACATCTTAGTATATAAATTTTACACAAAGTTTAGAATTTGATAACTCTTTGAGCTAATGAAACAGAAGTAGAGCATAGGATTTTCATTCTGAACACACATAAGCAAAACACAAGCTCAGCTCTAACACCTTCTGTACTTTTCATGTGCAGACAACAGGAAGCTCCTGAAAGGTTTCATAGGAAAACATGGATACAAAAAGCCAGATAGTATTAGTTAAGCATGTACAGCTCATACAGAGAGTCCATATTAATATTGCAAAGTTCTTCTAGAACAAAGTATTCTTCAGGAATACTTTCTTCAGAAAGTATTTCTGAGCAGATTTAATGTCTTTGCAATGCAGCATGAAAGTGTAGCCATTTCTGTGCTCATAGGATACTAAGTGTGTAAAAATATGAATTAATAGCATACATGTACAGAAGCTTCCTGATATATTCTACTGATATATTATTTAGCATTAAAATAAAAGTTTTTTAAAGGAATTAGGACTGTTGAAATTGAACTGAATATTCAACTCAATGTAATATCCAACTATCCCATAAATAAGAAGGCAGTTCTAATGTTGAGCAATAATTATTTCAAAACCATGCAAGTACTCTCAGCAATAGAGTCAGTTTATTCCTATTTTAGAGTTCACTGGAACTGCAAAACAGATGACAACCCTGACTAGTTTTAATGACAGAACAATGAATGTGTACCTTTTAAACCTCGTTCTCCTTTGTCCCCAATACCAACCAACGTCTCAGATGGTCCAGGAAAACCTTTATCACCTGGTTCACCTTTATCTCCAAGAAACCCTTTTCTTCCCTTTATTCCTGGGAAGCCAGGAGAACCTGCAAGAAAATAGAGTGAAATTTTCTGAAGCGACTTGACAGATGATATAATAAAGGAAACCAGATAATGCCAATCTTCAAGAGCAATTGTAATTTACATATGTAAATATACATTCCACACTAAACAACTTAAACTAGCTTCTTAACTGCTCCAATCATCAATAAAACACATACAAGTACTGATTATGGCAAGAGATGGAAATTATTTCTTATAGTGAATAAACATATAATTTTGTGTCTGTTAAATAAATATAATAATGGTATCCACACAGCATGGAAAAAAACACCCAGCAAAAAGGCTCTCTGCTCTTTATTCAGTAAATCACCAGCCACTTAAAAAACCAAGAAAAATAAATGGTGGCAAGTCAAAACGGCTGAAAAATCTGATGATGTTATTCAGTCTGCAGACTGCACATATACAGAAGAGAGATTTACCAAGACTCATAGAAATTCCAGTAAAACATCTGTATTCAGGAGGGATAATACACACAAGAGTGGCTCACAAGACTAACTTGAACATTAAAATTCCTGTATTCTAAGTAATAATGAAGGCAGATACAGTGGTCACTTGCCTCTGATTCCTGGGCTGCCTGGTATTCCAGCCATGCCAGGGGATCCAGGAATTCCTAACAGTCCCATTACACCTGGATCTCCCCTTGCACCTGTGGAATTGAAGCAAAAGGAACATATTAGTATTTGATCAGTTAAACAGAACATTACTTCAGAAAACTACACTTACGCCTATCATTTCACTGTTTACTTGCTTATTTTATTTTTTCTCCATTTCTGTAACTGTCCAGGCCAGTTTTCCCATCTTTAACCACAAGATCATGACTTATAACCCCCAAATTACCAAAATTAGCAGCTGCAACAACTCCTACCAATGAATGAAAAAGCTTCATTCATAAGGATGAGGGATAATGTATCTGAGATACCCACATGGGGATGAGAGATTGGTCATGAGATGTATGGGAATGACATTCATTTCTGGTTCAGGAGTAAAGACCAGCTGGGAATAACAACTCCCTCAAATGCCATCTGAAGTCTATGTTTGCATAACTGAGTCAAGTGCTACATGTTTCTCCAAAGCTTTACAGATTCTCAATATAAAGAGGTATGCTCTATCTCCTTCCCACAGTGTAATGACTTGATATTAAGGAAAAAATCTTTGTTAGAAATAAGCATTGCATGACTGATTTTTCTTTTTTTCAAAAAAATTTGAACATATTTCTGAAAGACAAATCTCAAACAAATCAACCCTATAGGGACCACTTAGCTTAATTAAAGGTAGCTCTGGTTAGTGCCAGAGCTTGATCTGACTCATCTCTGTCAGATTCTAGATCTGGAATTTTAAGAAAAAGAAGATGGTATTACAAACTATTTGTTTGAAAAGGGATGCTGAGTAAGAACTAAACACTTTGCACTTCCATTGTGCTGGGAGAGGTGCTTTGAATATTAACTATTTCACGTCCTACTGCAAGGACATTACTGTATAAAAATCTACGTAAAACACTGCTCTCAGAAGACTATTACAGAAAATTCCACACTGTATCAAGAGAGCTTTAAGATATGCTCATCATTTAAGGAAGAACGATTTATTAGTTTTCCATAAAATCTCAAAGATAAATGAATACTGTGAAGGGTAAAATATTTCAGCATCTTCAGTCTGGAAAAACATGACCTTTTTGCACACCCTTTTGCTAAACACTTTTCTGCAAAGACTCACCTAATTGCTACATCACAACAAATTCTTGGGGAATCCTTACCTGGCAAACCAGAGATTCCTGGTCTTCCAGACTGTCCCTTGGGTCCAGGTAATCCCATACTTCCCTGAAGACCTATTAATCCAGGTTCCCCAGGCTTTCCATAGATTCCCGGGACACTCAAACCAGGAGGACCTAGGTTTCCTTTTGAACCCTGTAAACCTCTTCCTCCTAAGAAAAGTGCAGGACAGTGTAGTATGATAGATCTGTCTGAAAAACAAACTTTCATCTCTATCTTTACATCACAGGCATGAAACTCTTCTTGAACTCTGCCTGTTTGAGGCTAAACATGAGATCTGTAAGGCAACAGATACATCCAGAAATCTTACAAGGGCTGTGGGTTGGGTTTTTTGAAAAGAGGAATAAAAACCAGTGAGAGTTGACAAATCTGTTCTTTTTGAAAAAAAGAAGAAAAATCCAAACCTGAAAATCCCACAGATTTTGCATTCATTCTTTAAATTTTTCCTTTTAAAAAATCCTTCTGAGACCATATGCAGAAAAATGCATATGTAGGAAAGTATATGAAGTATATGAAGTATGAAAGTATATGAAAGTATGCCTGACTGTTTTTTTAAAAAAGAAAATCATATACAGTACAGACAGGTACTTTTGGGACCCTAAATTGTTTTCCTACCTAGCTGAGCTCTTCCTCTCTTTTATTTCTTTATCAGTCCCATTGCACCACAGAATCTAAGTTCAGTCCCACAGGGGAGATATGACTGAAACATCCTTTTTCCTGTGGTATTTGGGTCAGTTTGTGATTACTCTTTATATTGTCTGGTGGAATCTGAATCTTCATCCATCTTGATCAGTGTCTGTGCTTCCTCCCATCTACAGAAAGAGCATCTTTTAAATGGACTCATGTTTCCTTGCATACTGTTCTATAAACAACATCCAGAAACAATTTCAGCTCCCTCAGTCCATTGGAAGGCAGCAACAAAATCCCCACTCACCCAGCCAAATGGCATTTTTGGGTCAGAAAATCCTACCTGGTGGGCCTGTAGCTCCCTGGCCACCTGGCAAACCTGGCAGGCCAATAAGACATTCAGCAGGTCTCCCTGGAAATCCCGGGTCTCCAGGAACTCCAGGTGAGCCACGATCTCCTAGAAGACATGAGAGTGGATTCACAGCCAAATTAAGTTTTAGGCTTTGAGTGAACATTGTTTGATTTGGTTTTCCTTAAAATAACTTGCTGTGCTCCCTGAGCTTCTCTGGCAACATTACCTCTTAGGCCATCATCACCATCATGCCCAGGATGCCCTGGTAGACCTGGGAGTCCTGGAAGCCCATCTTCACCTTTTGAGCCAGGACTGCCATGACTTCCTGGTGAACCCATTCTTCCTGGCTCTCCAGGAATAACCATGCCTGGCTCACCCTGCAACACACAGAGAAATGTAAACAATCCTTTCTGTTTTGCAAATCTGCCAAAATATTTTCTCCACTGTGGGAATAATGACCTCATTTTATTAGGATAATTCTCCTTATCCTCTTTGGGTCTTTCACACTAATTTCTAACGGCTTCAGTTCAGCAGACCACTGGATGCTCCTTATTGGCCAGCTGAGGAATTCATCTAGACAGCTTTTAAACTTTGTCTCCTAATCCGAAGAAGTTGCTTCTGAGCAATGCAAGACACTTCCCTCCATTTGGTCTTTAATGCATTGGCATGCCTTCTGTAGCTGTGAAAAGCTTTGGATATCTATCTGAAGTGGAGGTGAAGTTTGTGCAAATATAACTTTTCCTTTGTTTTTATATCATAGTTATATTTTCAAATCAAATTATTTATTTAAATAATGAAGGTCATTTAAATGACCTCAGATATGTCTCAGAATACTCAGTCAGGTGTTGGGGTTTTGAAAAATCATTCTTTTGAACATTGTTTTCCATGAAGACTGGTTTTATCACAAGTGCCCCAAGTGTATTCTCTGATTGGAAAGTTTGAATTGGTAGGGTTTTTTTAGCTGATTGAACTGCTGCAAATCAATATGTTCATAAAGCAGGTCAGCAGACCTGACCTTATATCAGTCACTAATGATATACTTGGACCACAGAGGCCCCTTCACATCCAGATCTTCTGTGGCATCAAATACAGATTAAATAGTTAAAAAAACATTCACAACCTCAGTCCCCTTCTTTCATCACATCAAAAAATGCACAAAAGAATTGCATACAGGCACACACAGAAAAAAAGAAATGCCATGTTTTCAAATCATTTAGGTGTTAATATTTTGTTCCAAATGGAATCCTAATTACAGAGTAGTCAAGAATCAGTAATTAGCTTCTGTTAATCAGCAGGAGTGACTGCAGTATTACCTTCAGTCTGCTTTCTCCATGCTTCAATTCAACAGGGCATTTGCTTAAATGAAATACGTACTTACTTGTCAATGATCTCCATCAAATATATGCTTAATTGGATTTCTGAACAGGCATCTTTTCAGCAGCTGTGGCCGTAATTTTTTTGCTGTAAGCAATACAATATCCTTCTTGTGGTCTGAAAGCTGAAGTAGGAAAACATCCCAAACACTTGGAATTCTGAAATCTTGTATTTGGATCTAAAATTTTGGCTTGAGCCCCTTTTCATAGAAAGAATTTAATTTCATAGTTTGTGCATAACTAGTCCAGAAATAAAGGAATTCCTATACTCCTTACAATTCTTTATTTATTTCCTCAGTATAAAATTTAATGAATAGGACCTTATGGAAAAGTCTGTGCTGTATTTCTAACCAAACCTTTTGTCCTGGCTGTCCTAGGTTTCCAGCTCGGCCTGGATCTCCAGTCTTTCCTTCACAGCCTGGTGGCCCTCTGCCTCCTGCAAGTCCTTTATCTCCTGCAAAAGGAATTAAATGGCAGTGCAGATGGTTTATTTTACATGTGTGTGGTCATGAGCCTCTGACACTAATGGAGTTTACATGAGCTGAAGGGAGCATTGGTGAGGCCACACCTTGAGTGTCCAGTTCTGGGCCCCTCAGTTTAGGAAGGATGCTGAGGGCAACAAGGCTGGTGAGGGGCTTGAAGCACAAGCTCTGTGAGGAACGACTGAGGGAGCTGGGGGTGTTCAGCCTGGAGAAAAGGAGACTCAGGGGTGACCTTATCACTCCTACAGCTCTCTGAAAGGTGGTTGTAATCTGGTAAGGGTTGGTCTCTTTCTCCAGGCACTGACAGAATGAGAGGACACAGTCTTAAGCTGTGCCATGGGAAATATAGGAAATATAGGTCGGATATCAGGAAAAAGTTTTTTACAGAAAGAATAAAAAAGTACTGGAATGGTCTGCCCAGGGAGGTGGTGGAGTCACCATCCCTGGATGGTTTTAAAAAAGATTGGATGTGGCACTCAGTGGTGCCATATGGTTTAGTTGAGGTGATAGGGCATGGGTTGGACTCGATGATGTTAAAGGTCTCTTCCAACCTAGTGATTCTGATTTTAATTCCAGAGTAGATGTGACACACAGCATCTTGTTCCTTACGTATTCACTCAAAATTGACTGTAACACTATTTGTTATGAACTAATTTGAAGCAGGTATTCTTTTTTTTAAGTGAGCCCATTCTGATGTCATTTCCTACTGTTCTCTTTAACAAGCAGCTTGGTACAAATTTTAGTATCTGAGCTTTTTCTGTTAACTCCTGTCCTGACAAGATTTTGAGAATTTCCTAGTATTTCTAGTGCTCAAAGGGAGTTATAACTTTGCATGAGGAATGGCCAAATTTACAGTATTTAAAATGCTTTCTATTACCTGCACAATAGAGCAGATATTACACTGAACATAACCAAAACTGATTGAAAAGAAAGAAGACACTCATACAGCTCTGTCTCTGTAACACATATCCAGGTAAAGAGAATCCATCTGAATTAAGTGCAGCAGTCAAATGAGATAGCTGCACCTGTTTGGGCAATATTCCAGAAAGCATCAATGTCTTTTAAAGTATTTTCCTACTGTCAGCTTTGATACTTGATACTCTGAAATACCTCAGAATATTTCCAACTTGCAATTTCTAAAACGAAGGCAGTAAATTACAAGACTGATAGAAACATTTATGTGTCTGTTTACTGATTTATATTTTTAACTACATAATTATTTTAAGGAGTAGTTAAAAAAATATTTTTTGTTTTGCTTTTTTTTTTTTAAAGTAGATCAAAAAGGGTCTTTTACCTTTTGGACCTGGGTTTCCAGGAAACCCAAGCCCTGGAAAGCCTGTGTCACCTGTTGGTCCTGGATGTCCTGGATCACCCGGCTGACCTCTTGTTCCAACCCTGCCTGTACAAAGAAAATAAGTAAACTGTGAATGTCTTACCACAGAACATCAACTTGTAAGATTATGTGTGTTATAGTTTATCATTATTAATGAGGACACCACTGTAGATTGTATTAGAATTGAGACACTATTTCTCCAATGCAGGTTTTCACAGTTAAAATGCTAATTGCATTCACAGTACCAAAGCATGTATGAGCCTGTGAGTTAAGTTTTTATGCAATCTGGCCAAATTCCAGACACCTAGAAACAGCTACATGCAGACACAAATCTTCCACTTCTTGAGAGGTTCCAAACATACTTTATAGGAGGCTTGAAACAGAAACTGCCCTGTGCTGTTCAGGACAGTTTTAAGGACTATTGTTCCACAAAACCCCAGCAAAGATCCTTACAGTTAACCAGTCTCTGATTTTAATTGTTTTACTGATTTAGTGATGGTACTCACCAGGCACTCCTGGGGGTCCAGGTAAACCATGTGGTCCCTGAGGTCCAGGCAATGCAGGTAATGGAGTTGCCCTACTGGTCTCTCCTTTCAGACCTTCAGCAAATACATTATAAAATATTACAAGGGTGTACAGTTTGGCAATATGTAATCTCAAGCATTTAAAAATATTAGTGATCAATCTACTTGGCTAAAAATGTAGTCTTCTACATTTTCCATATTTCTGAAACTCAAAAGGCTTTAAAAAGCCTTCTCATCCTGGCTTCATTATGCAAAATCATTTTATTAACACACAGTCTTCCTCTCAGCCCTCCTGCAGTCTAGTGGAGACCCAGAAAAGGAAGCAGAAAGTCACCAGGAAAATTATGCAACTGCAAAAATGCTTAAATCTGCAACTCTATGTCATAAAGACTCAAGGGGCATTATCTTTATGCAACCTTGCTATGCCTGCCATTCAGCTGGGTTCTTCCATACTAGGATTGCCTGTAAAACCTACACTGGTATGTTTCCAGCAGTCAAAAATTATTGTGCCCTTTACATACACCTTGCTGACTCAGTTTACACTAATGATGATGACTGGATTCATATTTGAATACTTTGTGTGTCCAGTGAGGACAGTCAAGCACTGGAACACATTGCTCACAGATAATGTGCTGTCTTCATTCTTGGAGATTTTCAAGGACCAACTGGATAATGCTTTGAGTAACTTGGTCTGACATCATAGCTGTCCCTGTGCTGAGATGAAATTCAGACTGTACAGAGTCCCTTCAACCTCAATTATCTTATCACCCTAAGACTTTTGCTACAATCTTTGGAGGGACCAAAGCTGGGACAATGCTGTGGAAGTCGTATGGCAAGGAGGGATTTCCCATGTTTCATAAATTATGTCTTTGATTTCAATCTCTCTCTGCAATTTTAATCAAGTACTTCTTAACATAGGTAAAACACAGTAAAATAGGGAAGTTACAAACCAGCTTCTCCAGGTAATCCAGGTGGGCCAGGTATTCCTTTAGAGCCTTTAGAACCTCTAACTCCTTGTGGTCCATAACCTGGCAGTCCAGGAAGCCCCATTTCTCCAGGAAGCCCAAGTCTGCCAGGCAATCCAGGTACTCCTCTATCTCCTTTTGATCCAGCCAATCCCTAATAATTACACATGTATACCAAGCATTACTTGCTTTCCACACCAGCTTTCTTAACAAAATGCACATTTCCCTGACTATAATCTTGTATTATTTCAGTAACAGAGTAACTCTGATAATTTAAGAAAAAAATTTTCCTCTCATTTACTTGTGATTATATGAGTATAAATTTGAATATCAACTGTTACAATGAGAGGGCTATTAAGAGGGAAATACTACAAATAACTACAATTTCCTGATTTTTTCCAATCACTGTTGTTGTACTGTACACTTTTCTTCTATTTTAAAAAACATTTGACAAAAAAACCCAAACCCACCTCAGCTCTGACTCTCCTTGAATACTGTGAAGTCAGGTTTAGAGACAGTTATATCTGAGTCATGTTAACAGTTTCTCAGCCAACATAACACAAAAATAATTGCTAGTTTTTGTTTCTGCTGAACTCTGCCCTAACAATTCTAGTTTTATGGTCAGTTCTAAATGAAAATTAATCCATAAAGACTGAACAGGAAGTATTTGAATTATTAAGCATTTTAAGTAATCAGGAAAATACTTTTGAAAAAGATTTTATCCATCGCAGAAATCCAACAAAATGCTCCAGTATCAATATCCAAACTAACACCTCACTAGACTGCTGAGGTTTTTCTGCAATGTGTACCTACACTGGCCTCATCTCTCTCTGGTATTATATCAGAATATTTCCTCTCCTTTCATGCATACTGGTTGTTACAGTTGAGGACGGTACCCTCAGTCAGGTAGGGGATATCAGCTGAAATATCTGCATAGATTAAACAGATTGTTGTACAAGATAAAATGCTGACTTAGGTTTCCATGACTTCCATATCAATTGCAAGAAGTGCATACCCACCTCTTCACCTTTAGAACCCTTGGATCCTTTAGAGCCAGGTCTTCCCATAAATCCACTTGAACCTCTTCTTCCTTTTTCTCCCCTGGCTCCTGGATCTCCTCGCTCACCTTTTGGCCCTTCTGGATGTACATATCCTGGCTCACCTTTTGATCCTTTACGTCCTTGTTCTCCTCTAAAACCTGGAGGTCCCTAGAATAGAGTTATCAAAAGAATTTCAGTGCTAGATGTATGCTATCTGTTTTCAAGTTTTCTTTTTTTAAATATTAAATACCTCAGAGAGGTTCTCCCTAGTCTCATTTTTATTCTCTGTAATGGCACACTTCAATGAATAGGGTTTTGGGGTTTTTTGTCTTTTCTTTTTCTCCTGTCTTTACTTCTTTTGACATGATTACCATTTCATTTATGCTACTACAAGCAGGAATAATGTAGCATAATTTAATGAGTAAGACCATGCACAAAAAGAAGGACTTTAAGACCTAGTAAGAAATTTCTCTTCCACATGGGAATATTTCCCCAGGGCCACTCTAAGTGCCATAGCTGGCTCTGTTCATAGTTAACTTCCCTCTCCCTCCTCTCCCCAACAGGTTACAAAGCGGGTGCACTATCCCAGTAACAGCACACTGGGCTCTCGTCATCTTGGGCACATGAACTCTTTGGGGGCTCCTGGCAAAGCCTGTTAGCAGACTCATTCTGCATCTGTACAGAAACAACCCCAACAAATACTTGTGCATGACTTTTTATTGGACAGCACTGGCTGTACTTTCCCATAAATAATTACTACTACGGGCACAAGTTAGCACAACCAACTGACACGTGTGGCAGCAGGTGGCCGACTTCCCTCTTCACAACCTTTCCCAGGAGGGACTGTCCTTTGCACCCCTGAAGAGGGTATGATGAGAAGCAAGTTTTTCTGTACAGCTGGGGCTTTAGCAACTCCTGAGTATGCTGGAAACAAGAGAAGTAAGAAGTCTGACAAAGATCACAGCACACAAAAATCTTTATATGCTTTACAGCCACTGCCATGATTATTGAATTATATAAAGGAACAGAAGGTAACCATAGACTACCTATACCAGACAGAACATGAAATGCAGCACAGGTTAATCACACAGGTATTTATTTACCTGCCTCATTGACTGCAGCTAACTTGCACTGAGCAACCAGGCTCATGTAAAGCTGTGTGAGCCATACATTACATTCTTGCCTTGCTTCCCATGCTGATACAGTCATTACTACAGGAAAAAACCTGTTGAGATCACCCAATATGACACTGCACACAACACTAGCCATGATGTTTCTCTGAAATAATTACGGTGGGATCTGAATGTTAGTCTGAAAAACCAGTCTTACTTGGGCCCCTGGAAACCCTGGTGCTCCTGGAGAACCTGGAGAACCTTTTGGACCTGTTGTTCCATCTCTACCTGCAAAAGAAACAGTATATTTAGTAAAGAAAAATGAAAACAAGGACATAGATTTTGATAAGCTCCAATAACTGCACCCAGTATTCAATGCTTCTGTTGTTATATTGATTAGTCATCATAGACTGAGCTGGCTTCAGACTGTACCTAAAGCCTATCAGCACTCTGAGTTCCCGTCTTTTAGGGCTTGTGCTCATATCAGCAGAGGGAGCTGCACCAGGCTCTCACACTCACCACCACCTCAGGCTAGTTCAAGGACTGCAGGCTGCAGACATGCCCACACATGAATCTCATGCTAAAAGCAAAATCATTTTCACTCCTACTAGCCTAGTAAGGAACAAGACAATTTACCAGGCATGCCATCCTGACCACGAGGCCCAGGAGACCCAGGAAGACCAGGCATTCCTGGAATGTAGCTACAATCAGTACACACACCAGCATCATCACCTAGAATGAAAAGAAATCATTAGTTGCTTCACAACAAGTCATTTTCAAACTTAACTAATGTGCTACTTAGTTTGTTCTAGCTAACACTTTTTGGCCAGGAGTGGTAGAATCATGGCCTTAATTTTGTTGGAAGATCACTTCTAACACACTACTAAATTACCTGTGGTCAGAAAGTCAATCAAAACCGACTGCAATTAATTGAAAGGACAGAAAGATTTAGTTTAAATATCTTGATTTTTTAAATTCATGTTTCAGCAAAAAATTTGGATGCAGTCACTTTACTGATAAGCCAGATTCTCTCAAAAGAAGTAAGGGACATACACTTCCAACTAACAGAGCTCTGTAACTCTCAGGGTCATTCTAATGACAAGCAAAGGGCAAAGAGATTCAGCAGCTTCTGTGGGTGGAAGTTGCAGCTGCTTTCAGGGACAAACTATCAGCAAGAATATAAAAACAGAGAACAAAGCCCTACCAATCTGTAGTAACTGTTCCAGTGAAGATCTACACCCTGCCACAGCTCTGTACAGCTGGTGTGCAGCACTGGCACATCACTGCTCTTTTAGCTGATGTAAGGGGAGGAGGGCATCTCACTATCCCTAATGACTGTTCTTAAAACTCTGAACTCAGCTAATGATTTAAAAGGTAAATTAAATTTTCAAAAGATCTAATGAGGATCTGTGAAGATTACTAGATTGTACCATCTACTTCTGAGTGACATTTATCTGAAACTGACCTCTCATGCCAGTATCTCCTGGAGGTCCTGGAGGTCCTGTACACCCTGGCTCTCCAGGAAGGCCTGGTAGGCCAGTTCCAAACGTTACTCTACCTGTTAATGAAATGAGCATGGCACCATTACATCACAGATTATTCAGACAATTCTCTACTTGCTAAGGGAGAAAAAAGTTGAAGGGATAAGCTAGAAACAGTATTCTGATCTTTATGGGTCCCTTCCAACTTGAGATATTCAACAATTCATTTAAAAGAGAGAGCCACCTGGAAAAATCCTAAACACCTGCAACTTGAAGTACCTGGTTCTCCTGGAGGACCTGGCAATCCAACAGAACCAGGCCTGCCAGTAATACCAGGCAGTCCTGGAGGGCCTACAATATACAAGCCAGGTTGTCCTCTCTCTCCTTTTGCTCCTTTTGGGCCAGGAAATCCTGGGGGCCCTCTCAGACCAGGTCTTGACACACCTAACCAAAGGGGAAAAAACACAAAAACAGAATTAAAGAAGAAAAGGCATTTCAAAGCTAAGTAAGTACTCAAAGGCTAAATGACAGACAAACACATCAAGTTCATCCCACAAATCTTTTTTATCTTGAAATATATTAATCAAAGTGAGACTCTACAGACATTTGAAAATGATCTTTAACCTAAGAACTTGACCCACCAGAGCTCCTGGGTGACAATTTTTCAGCACTTAGAGGTATTTTTAAAGTCATCTGAAATTAATATTTGACAAAGCTGATTCAGTGTAACAGACAGGAAGAACAATGTATTTTATTATTGCATGTACCTGGTCTACCAGCAGCTCCAGGAGGACCCTGTGGCCCTGCAAAAGCAAGATATTAAAAACTTGAATTAAACCACTCTATACTTTACAAAGTCACTATTCAATAACATTGGATACAAACTTCGATCTTTTGCATTTTAAGCTTAAAAGTTAAAATAAGAACTTGGTTTTGCCTGAGTAGGCATCTACCAGTCATGCAACCTTTTACACACTGGCAATTATTTTTAAGGGCAAATAATGCTAAAAATCATAGTCTCAGGATGTGAGTTTAGGAAATATTCTTGTAAAGGCAGAAGAAGGTTGCTCAAAATGTAGTGTGCAATAAGCCCTTTGAGTGGAGTGTTCTTGCTACAGGATTGTAGTTTTGATGTCCCACTCACCAGGCATGCCACGTTGACCTTTTGGTCCTGGAGGCCCAGGGGGTCCTTCATCCCCTTTTTCACCAACCACATAATCATAATACTCAGTCTGAAGAGAAAGGTGGTAAGAAAAGAAAGAGTTGCAAGATCTAAGAGAGAAGCACAGTACCTCACACCGAAGACATGATTAAAGCAATGCTTTGATCTCATTCATAATTGTGATATTCTGACACCACAAGACCTTACTAATTACAAGTAACCAGAAATGAAATCATGATTGTTATTAGCAGCAGTGTTTTCTTAGTACTCTGTCAATATCACAAACACTTCAGCTTTTTACAAAGCTATTTCTCCTGGACCACTTGGGCAGAAAGTTTCCATTAGGTGCACATGGGGCCTTTAGGAAAGCCATTAGGGAGATGGCATGACCAGACAGGGAAATAGTACTCATACCTACTCTTGCTTTCTTTAAAAAGTGTTTTTAGGATTTTAAAATTAGGTCCCCTGTTGTGAAAGTGATTAGAAATTGGTTTAGATATTAACTCCTGTGAATTTTTCTAACTGTTCTTTGACAGTCCAATCTCCTGCCAAAATTGCTGGATCCAGGTGAGGTCTAACCAGGCACAGATACTGTATGCAATTCCATATAAAGGAAGATCTCATCTGTGTGAGAATCCCATAAATATCAGTACTTAGAGAAAGCCATGCCTGATTAGAGCAGCACAGGATATCCATTATTTTCTCATGCAAACCATTTAGATTATTCTTATTCTAATGGTTTAGAAAAATTATATATGAAGGTATTTTACACTTACTCGTCCACAAGCTCCAGGTGGACCAGGGTTTCCTTTCATCCCCTTCATCAAAGAACAGAGATAGGTTTTTTTATTAAAAACAATGTATGGAATGACATTTACCCACTGTTACTTCAGTACATTGTTCAAAACATTAAAGAAAAGCAACTGTTCCTGCCCAGTCCTTCAACACCCCATGTCTGTTCCTTACACAACTATTCAGCTGCATACACCAAAGCCTACAGGAACTCATTAGCAGACACAGATGGACACCAGTTCAAACCCATGGTTTGTTTCAGCTGATCCATTCCCTATTCCATGATACCCTTGTCATTTTTTAGGCCAAGTGAAACACATGATATACACAGTAATAAATAAAATTATATAATAACATCATTGCTTATCCTCAAAAGCAACAACCAAACCATTGGACAATACCTTAGCTCCTTGCCTTCCAGCCAGTCCTGGCTTGCCCTGTTCACCCTTCTGTCCCTGCAGATCACAGTACACAATTTTATAAGGATTAATCTTTTAGCACTGACAGCAGTAAGATCTAAAATGTGAAGTTTTAATCTTTCATGGTGATGGCAAAGTGAATGCAACTTGCTCAGGAGAAGAAACTGGAGTGAAAGATCCAGTTGGAGGTACAGCTCTGTGCCTGTAGGAAAAGCTGCAGGTGTCCCATCCAAACCTGCATTTATTACAGCACACTCCAACACTCCCAAGGGGAAGCTGCTGTGCATGGCACAAATGTAGGAGTCTCTGATCTGCTCTCTCTCTGCAAACTATTTCTGAAGGGGAGAACCTGAACACAATGCAAGACTCTCCTATTCAACACCCTCCCCAGAACTCAGTCTGTGGGATGGTGCTGATCTCAAGAGGTGTCAGCAGCACCAAGGAAAACAGTGCAGACTAATGTCTTCTGTAAATGAATACAGGCAAGAGACATCTTGGAGGCTCATGCAGTTGAATGCACTGCTAGTGAGTAAAGCTGAAATGGGAACAGAGCAATGACATGTCTTTGTCATGACAGAAAATTTTCTTTCTGTTAGCTGAGACAGTAGAGCTTTGCAGTCTGTCATTCAGTGTTCTTTGTCAGACTGGAATGTGTTTAGACTGCCTGTGAAGGTCTTTTAGCATGACAAGGTGATGTTACAGTAAGATACACGTGCAATGGGCTATCCTGGCAGTAAGAATTTTGGTAAAATATTTATGAGGTCACTGCGACTCTAATGATGTGAAAGTAGAGATGAAGTAAAAAGAACTGATATTTAACCAATTGAATACAGTACTTCAAACACATTTGAACAATTCCAACTTTTAAATTAGTAGACAAATGAGACTATTTTGCTTCTAAAATGGCATAATTTAAGAACTATATGCTAACAAATTGACAGTTTTAATAGCTATCAGTCATCTGATAGCCATGACCCTGACAATAACTTTTCTTCATAAAACAATGTCTTTGATCCTAGTGGTTACAAACTATTCATTTCTCTTCTCGATTCATGTTAAAGGGAAGGTATAACTCTTTTGCAAAAATTTCAATGTGACTAACCAGAAAAAAACTCAGCAGAATTAGTTTTGCTGAATTTGCAATGTGTCTCACACTTATTAGATAGTCAGCAGCAAGCAACAGGTCTTTTTATTTATTTTATCTATGAACTGAGCCTCTGTCTCCTGCACATAAATCTGTGAGGACATGGTATGTTCCAAGGCCAGCTGCATGAAGGAAATGTTTCAGTGTATGCAAATCAACATTTTGAAACACATTCCACAATGAGAGAAGAGCTGTGACAGGAAGATAGAACTGTCATAAACAGATGACTATCACTTAGAAAACATTTAGAAGGCTTCCTTCATTACCGGTAAACCAGGTGGACCTGGGGCACCTTCTTTTCCAGGATTCCCCTACAAAGGAAAAATGTAAAATAAAATTAAAAAAATTAAAGTGAGGATATTGCATTCAAAGAGCATAGGAACTCGATGCTGTGCACATAACTGTAAACTGTGTAAACTGTAAAAAGCCATTAAGGTTATTTTAAAGTATTCATTAATCATAACTAAAGTTCATAAAACTCTACAAAATAGATATTAAGATATTCCATTGACACTCATCCTCCTGTGGAGGATTATTTGTGCCAGACTCTAGCAGTACAAAGTGCCAGGCAAGTGCAGAAAGCTTGGTGAAAAATCAGGTTCTTGCAGAAACAAGACAAATGATAAAACAATACAGCAGCAAGCTGTATTCCCATACAGTGGAAGGACACTGAAGGAAAATTCTCTGAACCCTATTTCCTGTATGGGATAACTTGAGGAGAAATTACTTAATGAAAAAGAATAGGGAGTGCACTTCAAAGGTATCTGAAGCAGGGCAGTAAACGGGAAAGTGAAAACTGAAGGAGGTAGCAGGCCAGAGGTATCTGCTGCTTTCCATGGCCCATTTGGTAACCTCGACCAGGGTCCTGTACCTTGTGTAGCAACAAGAAACAATTGTTTGAGCAATTCATAACAACAAAATAACAAGACAAAAGGGCGAATGAAATGAAAACATGATTACATGGATACCTTGCTTGCCACCTTTAAAGGCAGACATGAGGAAATTCTGGCTCATTAATATCCACAGAAGGAAGGCAGTGAAAAGAGAAAAGGAGGGTGGGGGGAGATTATGAACTCAGAACAACAGGGAATAAAGAACATTTTAGATATTTTCCCCCACAAAATAAATGAATGAAATTTAAAATAATTTTGAAAAGATCATACCATGAATTAGGATGTAAGGATCAGAAAAAAACGGCAAAAAGATGTCAGAACTTAAAAGATAAGAAGGAGAATAGAATGATGTCCCATAGGCTAAAACCTCACTTGCACAAAATACTTTTTCCTAAAATGTAAAATTCACAGCAATTTGATATTTTGTGCTCACTGATGTAATTTCAATTGCAAAAAAAAAAATTCTTTTCTTTTTAGAACAGTTAATCAATCAATGTCTTAACAACACTTCCTTAGCAATGTGGAAGAAACACAGAAGATGGAGGATTAATAACACACATTGGAAAGCAAGAACTTCTAGAACCTTACACTAGTAACTCAAATTGAAATTTTCATTATGTATAGGAATAATAAAAATAACAATCAAGTTGCTCTCTAACATCATCATTATAGCACCACACAACTGAAGAAAGAACAATCCTCAGGTAGTACCAGGGTCTTGTCTTGCTATCTTTCCTTCTGGAAGAAAATGTATTGCAACCACAAGAAGTATGAGAAAAGTTTCAAAAATATACACATTTGGATTGAATTAAATACTTAATTTGAAAATTATTTTTCTTTGTATTGCTTTCATAATGTATTCAAAATGTGTATTTAGAAAATGTCACAAAACATTTTGATTTTTTTTTTACTATTTTAGGGTTCTTCCCTGATTATACATCTCATTAAATTGTTATGAATTAGTAGTTTTAGTTATTAAGACCTTGTATCTGTCATTGATTAACTTTTATCTGAAAGCTTGAAAGGCATTTGAATGAAAATAATAACTTTCCATTAATTATCTTCCAAAAAAAATCATCAAGAAAATTGTACTTTAATATGCATGTTTTTCAAATAAATATTTTTTCATATACTATGCTGTTAACAGAGTAACTCTTAGGCAGCTTTCTTCATGTCTCCACACAGTACTGGTTGAACATGCCAATTTAAATCTGCTGCCTTAAGTAAACTCAGTGTTTTCTCTTCTACTTACAGGCTTGCACTATAAAGCCAGTGTATGTTCAGTAGAGCACTTCTTTATTAAGTTTCAACAGCAGAACCTTTAAAGCAAAAAAACCAGAAGTGTACTCATAATCAACTGACCTTCACTCCAAGTACTCATGTAAGTACAGACACTTGACTTCCAGCTCTTGTCTAGTTTACTGCAGGAAAGAGCTTTTGAATCTAAGCAAATTTGCTCTGAGTAGCAGTGAGACAAAAACTGCACAACACTATTTCAAAACTGCTTTTCAGAAAGGACTAACACATGTATTCAGCTGTTTGCACACACCTGTGCTCCTGGCTCTCCTCGGTCACCCTTTTCACTTTGAGAGTCACCAACTGGCCCCTGGAACAAAACCACACTGACGATACTCATGTTTGAAACTCACATTTTCTAAGTTAAATACATATTTTATATTTTTTTATCTTTAAAAAAAAAGTATAGTTGGAATGTTATTAAAAGGTATTTTATTCTATTCATTAGTTCTATTCTTTTCATTAAAGGTTGAAATAATTAGTGTAAATACTGTAAACAATAGCATTTATTAGGTGATGCTGCCTGAGCATCTGGATTTAAGGGATTTACTTCTGGTCACTTACTGTAAACCCCATCGGCCCTGGAGGTCCTCTTGATCCTTTATCTCCTTTTTCTCCTTTCAAGTCCTATTACACAGAAAAGAAGAGCTTACTGTGGTGTCTTGGATTTTTCTATGCTTACCATTTCAGTCTAGTTCTACAAATAGGAAATCCTTCTGTCACCAGCAAGATTCTTTGAGTAGAGATGGTTTTACTCAAACGATTAAGAAATGTGGTATGTAGCTCTGACAGCCATTCAGAACAGCCATGTGGATTTGGTGAAGCAGAAGTGATTTACTCTTCATGTACTCAGGGATTCCCAGCAGCTGGGGCACTGGTAAGCAAGAAGCATTGCATTGGCATCGTGCAGATGTGCATGTGAGCACACAGCCTCAGCTGGGCTGGCTCTACACACACACTCTAAGAGAGCTTAGAATCTAACTAAACAAGTCTAAAAAATGTTAGGATGGGTAAAAGGAAATGTTATCAGAGCAGTGAAGATGAAAACGTCCTCTCAAAGTAAAACCTAGTCAGATGGGTTATCTGAACATGATGTTTAACAGTTTTACTACCGTCACGTTGTCTGGTCCACTTAATGTCACAATAACAGTTCCTGGGGGCCCAGGGGGTCCAGTTAATCCAGTGTCACCCTTGAAGGAAAAAAGAAAAATAGAGCAAATTACAAGTAGTGTGTTTTTGTATTTCAAATTACTACTGTTGTACTTATGATATCATGAAAATTCTTCTTTCATTACACTCAGCCATTAATTCCGTTAACACTTCCCTTTGCTTGCTATTTAAATTCCAGTAAAAGACATATGGAAGATTTAACCTTCCCCTAGCTGATTAATACAAAAATGAATATGCTGTTTTCTGTTACACTTTCTAGAGAGAATTTAAATTTGTAATCCTATTTATTTGTTACAAAACTAGTTTAAATCAAGCAAAAATATCTCCTTGATTACAATATTTATCTCCATTTAATTATGTCAATCAGTAAATTACATGAACTGTCTTTGGTGACATACTCCAAACTGTAGTCTGGGTATTCCAGGGAGATCATAGAATCACTGACAAACAACAACAAATCAACAGACAAAATAAGCTTTCATGTGTCCTTCACTGACAACATAAGTAGTGAAGTGCACTTTTTTATTAAGAATCTTTGAGAACAGGGGAAGTCCTCAGTGTCATCTTTCCTGTGGAGCTCAACAAAACAATATCCACAATTTTCAGTGATTTTAAGCCAGTGGAATGCTTTTGCATGAATTTGCAGCACAACAGCAGAGTGTCACTCTTTCATAAGGAAGCAAGATGTTCCATAGTCACCTGAGCTACTGCTAGTGAGTAATGAGGTATGTAGGCAATTTTTTATTTCCCAGGAAACTCCTAGCACATTGCTGGCAGTGATTACAATGTTAAAACCAATCACAGCTGGATCTGTGCAGGTCAGTTAGCATAATAGTGAGATGCCCTAATCTCTTGCAAGGATATTCAGATTAACTACACTAGTCCTGCAACTGCAGGCTGGCTGCTGGGAGACAATGTGGGCATTTGTAGTAATTCCTGGTTTAATGTCAATTACTTTGAATACAAAGTAAATACATGAAAGACGAGTTATCAAATTTTTATTCAAAACCTGGGGGTTTTGCTGGCATCACAAGGGCTGGCACTGAAAACACATTGGACAGAAGTTATGAGACTAGAAATGCTACATATTTACCACTGTTTACCTGCTTAGATAGCATTTAGGAGCACTACACAAAGTATATATAGTAATTTAATGCTATGTGCTAGTAAATACTAATTACTGGCTTCTCTTCAGTGTCTAATCTTCTGTCTAGATGTTTATATCATTGGCTCTTATGGGAAAACATTTTGACCTTAGAGAGCACTGCCATATTTCCATTTTTCAACAAAAGACTCCCATATATATAGTGAAAATTTGCATTTTACAGTACTTACTTCACCTTACACCTACAGTACTTATTTCACCTTAGAAAATCAGAAAATGCAGAAAACAGAAACAAAACTTTTAAAATGTTTAAACTTCTTATGAAATTACCTTTCTTCCCTTGGCTCCTATTACTTTCAGTCCCATAAGACCCTGAAAAAAAAAATCCACAAATGTCATTTTTTTATCTTACAAACACTTAAAAACGGGTTAATTCAAGTTACATATAACAGAAGTTTTCATTTTTATTACCAATCTGAGACTACCTTAGGTCCAGGAGGTCCTGGTTTCCCTGGCATGCCCTACAAAAAAGGAAAAATAAATCCTCAGCTAAAAAACTTAAAATCATTTTCTCTGATAGATGATTTGAAGTACCCAAATTTCACAGAACTCATATCAGATTTTTACTCTTTCCTCCACCTTTAAAACTGCAAGTCATTGTCAATGGGTGACAGATTGTTTACATAGTCTAGTTGCAAACATATGCATCTCTCAATGTTATGCATAGTAGTATTTCAGATGAATTAATGGATAGCCATTTGAAAATTAAAATTTATGCCTACATGGACAAGGGATGCTTCTGAAAATATAGACATTATCATGCATAAAAATAATCAAAAGAAACTGAAAAAAAAATCAGATGTGTGCAGAAAAATACAGTTTTTACATACACGTGTCTAGATCTCAAATAAGTTTGGGAGAGTCAAATACTTGTATCTGTGTAACTCCACAGGATTTAAGGAAAATCAAAGGTCAAAGTAACAAGTGAGACATAAATTCATACCAAAGGTCCTGGAGGGCCCTGTGGTCCAAGTTCCCCAGGATATCCTTGAGCACCCGGAGCACCCTGCATATTAAAACAGAAAGAGGAATAAATCTCCTAGCAAGATTATGAGCAAAACACAACACTAAATTCAATGAACTGAATAAGAAAGAGATCAGCAGCTCTGCTGCTCTGAATTTCCTTTTCCTATCTCAGAAGAACACAGAAGTATAACTTTTCTTCACGGCTTCATTGTTTGGCATATGTTTTGAAACACAAGAAAACATCTGTTCTATAATTAAACTACTCAAGTGAGGATCTAAGTCCTCTAAGAAATGTGGACTCATAATCCATATGGTCCTATTAATGCCTCTAATAAGCCTTCAATCCTTCAAATATTCTATGCAATAAATCCCATACTTTAAACCTTTTTTTTCAAAGAAATGGAAAATTAAACATTTTTATTTTCTTTTTAATTTAATGCTCTGTTTATTCCAATAGTCAAAAGAAATGTCAGCCCTGCCTTCCCCTGTTAATGTTCATTCTTGAAATATGGACAATTCAGTCCTTTGTTAGTACTCTAAAGTTGAGCTGGTCTAACCTGTTCAGTCAACTTCAATGGGAATTCAGCAGTTGTACTTGATGGCCATTTTAGGTCCCTTCCAACTGAACTATTCTATTCTATTCTATTCTATTCTATTCTATTCTATTCTATTCTATTCTGTGTAGAGGTAAACTCATAGATCTGTACCATTTTTTCTCCATACCTGAAGTACTGTTTTTCTGCAATCTGACTGCTTTTGGTTTAGAAATCACTGATACAATTGTAAAAGATACGATATTTATATTAAACAAATTATACACTTACATTATGTAAAATATAAACTAATTTTAATACATACTCGTGTTATATAGGATGTATTTATACATATTATTGTATATATTTATACATATCTATCTCACTGCCCCTTATTTTGAGTTACCTGGAGACCAGGCATTCCTGGTAGTCCAGGATCACCTTTTGCACCATACTCTTGGCTATATGCCTCTGCAGGGCACCCCTGGACAATTAGATAAAAAGAAACATAAAAAGTTATGCTGCAGAACTCTGAAATGCAACAAATCTTCTAATACAGTTTGTAGGGAAATTGGCAACACAAGTATTACATAATGATGGAAACTGTCTACCATAGATAGTTCTACTTTTAAAAAGATTTTATGAAGCCAACTATATCTTTTGCAGGTCCTCCAATTCACTGTTAGGAGTAGTCTTCTTTTCAGATATATCTATATTACTCCTTGCCTTAAATTTATTTTTGTGACTCTTTATTGCTGTAAAATACTCTCTAGTGTATCTGTAGATTTCCATATTAATTCATAATCTGTTTGGGGGAGGAGCTTAGTTCTTTGTGTGCTTGAAAGTGTTGAATTAATTTTATGCAGTAACAGTAGTTTGAAGGGAAAAAATACTCATTTTGCAACCTGAGGTGAATGCTACTAGGAGAAAGGAAGCACCAAACTTTGTGGTTGCTTCTTCTGGAAGGTAAACCTTCTGTTTCTCATGAATGGAGATGTTAAGAGCAACAAAAATACACACAAATTGTTGATAACCAATAAATATTTCATGTAATATGATGCAAATAACTGACCTTCTCTCCTTTGATACCAACAACTCCCTAGGAAGAAGAACAATCATATTGAAACAGAAGAGAAAAAGACTGCTGAAATAACATTCTAAATATCATCTAAACTTGGTGTTCTTCAGGTGATTTATTTTCATGAAGAAGGTGCATAGCCAGCTTCGTGTTTAATGGGCCAGACTTTAATTTAAGAAGAAAGGGTATATTGTTAAAAAATAGTCCATCTCACAGGTGCAACTCTACAAGTAAAGGCAGAACAGCTTTGAAGCCTGATCTTAATAAACGAAAAAATAAAATCAGCAAAGCTGTTAAAATAAAGATCGTGTTAGAAGTTATTAGATTTGAAGCCACTGGAACTTAAGACAGCATTCCTTTTCCATTTGTTTAAAAGTTTCTCTTTCAAACATATTTCTACAAAGAAAAAAACCCCAAATCCTGAGATTAAAGCAGTGTACCCAGAGTGAGAAGTTCTGAGTTTAATTCCTGGTTCTTATTGACTTAATTAAGCCATTATTTTCTCAAAGATACTTAGGCATGAACTGAAACTGCAATCTATTAAATATACCTTGGACACCTTTAGGGATGTAAGAGGTAAATTTTCCCATGAGAGCTGGTCAATGAATTTCATGCAGTTATTAGCTAAGAAGTTGAGGCCCAACATGCAGACAATAAAGCATTACTTTTAACTTTGGTCTCTTTATGACACAGTTTTCATACTGATAAAATGAGGATACCTATATATTTCAACTGGTGTCAGTATGAGCTAACATGAGGCTTTACACTCCTTCAGGGACTGGCTTTATGTGGTGGCAATGCACACAATCATGGATTTCACACTTACTGGAAGGCCTGGAGCACCTCTTCGACCTGGAGGACCTGGAAATCCTTGGTCACCCTGAAAGTAGTAACAGTGACTGTTAATGCATGTTATGGTTTATTATTTAGCCTGATTTTGGCCAATGATCACAGAAGTTTTTTATGCTATCACACTAAATGCACTGTGAGTTCACAACCACCGTATTTTGCTAGAAGAGGATCATCCCATTTTATGCAGCTTGACTTCTGTCCTAGACTGTCCAGATTAGATTAGTTCACAGTTTCACTAGAAATCTAGGATTTTCTGTAGTAGGTATTATTCTGACTCCCTCTTTCAGAATGTTCATAGAACAAAGAAAACCTGGTAAATCTGTTACTTAACATTGATCCTTTTCTCTTCATTACCTTCAGGATTTATGAATTGCCAATTGCAAGCTAGATACTGACAAAATAAAATGGATTAACTGTCTCCTTTATAACCCACTGCACTAAAAGGAGATGTTGGACAAAAACCGATTAGGTCTTCTGAATTAATGGAAAAAAGTATCTGTCAAAAATATCAAACGTTTTTCTTATCTTTTAGCAAAGGCCATTAGAATGTATTACTTAAGTATTTATTTTGCTCAAAAAGTAGCACTTTTCCTTTCTCTGGTCCCATGACACAAGTTTTTGTAGCTGATAAAGTCATAAACCAAAACGAGTCAAAGTTGTATATTGAGGGAAATTCAGAACTCTTTCTGGCCGTTCCCAAGCACAGCCAAATGCAATCTCCAGAACACTCAGCTTGGTTTGTACCTTTGTGCCGTTGCATCCTGGAACACCCGGGAGCCCAGGAGGACCAACAGCTCCTGGTTCACCCTAAAAGAAGCACGAAATTGACACAAGCTTTGTTTTTGCACATTCATATTGCCCTACAGAAACACTGAAAGAGTTTATATTGGAGCAATGTTTCACAAGACTTGACACATTACAATGTGTTCTTAAATCATTACAATGAGTAAGAATTGCTGATGCCAAGATTTTTATCTCTAGGCCAATTAACAGAGACAATGTTGATGTTGAGACTAGAGTGAGCACATTGAGCTGAGGATAATTGTGCACTAAAGACTGAAGTAAGAGAGAAATGGTTAAATCAGTTTCATTTTTACTTACGGGAAGGCCTGGAGGACCTGAAAATCCAGGTATTCCTGGGAGTCCCTAATGATGTTAAGCCAGAGAAATATTATTATGAATATTAAACAAAAGCTCATTAGGCAATTTTTCTTTGGTTAAAGTCATAATAAGGATGAATGCAAGCATGATTCTATTAAAAGATCATTTCTTCCTTAACTCTTCTGACTGTGAACCAAGCATAATGGTTACACACAGGTAACACACACTCGTTTTGCCCACAGAAAAAAAACCCAAACAACTCTTTGTGGTATTCTAGTCTGACTTTTTCACTGCACACCCAAACATTAAATACATACAGCAATAACCTTGAATGTAAGAGGTAACAAAAAGGGCAAAAGTTTTAGAAATAAATAATACTTGTACATAGACAGTGTCATAAATTTTAATCATACTTTGAAATCAGACATAATGTTTTGCTTTTATTTTCACAGATCATTGAACCAAGTTGGCAATTAGCATGACATTTAATAGATGTAAGTTTGTTTAAAATACAAACACTTACTCTTGCACCTTTGGGTCCAACTAAGCCTGTAAGTCCTGGAGAACCCTAGATCAGAAATGGAAAGAGATGTTTTTCAATATGTTTCCATTGAGAAAGAGCACATAAATGTCAACAGGACATGCAATATTTTCAATATCAATATGTGCACACAAAACCAGCTATATAAATAAATACATGATTGGCCTATTTACAGTCAATAAAGGAAACAAGCATTTCATACAACTTGCATGAATTGTGGTGTCTTTTCCTCCCTTCCAGTGTTCACAGGAGAAGTATCATAGAATCACAGAACAGTTCAAATTGGAAGGAACCTTAAAGATGATCTAGTTCAAACCCCCCTGACATGGGCAGAGACCCCTTCCACTAGAACAAGTTGCTCAAAGCCTCATCCAACTCGGTCTTGAACTTCCAGGGATGGGCAACCTGTTCAGTATCTCATCACCCTCCTACCCTCATAGTGAAAAAAATATCTATATCTCATCGTAAGTCAAAACAAATAACTGTGCTATTGAAAATTCATATATAGGCTGAGTTTAGGCATACAGGAAAGAAAGAAAGCTCAAGACACTGAAGCCACTGGCTCCATATCTCTCACATACATACCTACCTTTGGTCCCTGTGGCCCTGGAGGCCCTTCTGGACCAGGAAAGCCTCTTTGACCAGGTGGGCCTGGAACACCAGGAAAGCCTTTTTCACCCTGTAAACATTAAGATAATTAAACTTTTCAAATATCCACGAATTCTCCTTTTGATAGCTTATTTCTAAGGCACTCATTACTTTCAGTACCTCTTGGCTTCCTGCTGCTGTGGCAGATCCCCTGCCCTTGCCCACACTGATCTGTTTTTCTCTGGGCTGCCTCAGCCTCACGGCACCACACGCTCATAATGGCTGAATTATCAGAGCACAAGACAGTACTCAAGATTTTACAGAGCACAGAAGTTAGCTGACAGCATGAGAAGTTTAAGAAGGCAGCTGATACGTATTCCTTGTTAATACTTCTGATGTTTAGCAACACAAATTGAGAAACTTAATGCTGCTGTACAGCAAGGTCAGTTCCAAACCATCAATATCTCTTCATGGAAGCCAAGGAAGGACACAGTGGGAGTGAAATGCAACAAAACCATTCAGACAGAATAAAAACCCTTGCTTTGCATGACAAGTATCTTAAATTTTTCTGAATCTCAGAGATTAAGACATCAAATTAGTTTCTCATGTAGTTTTTTTAAAGATCAAATTCCAATAAGCTATGTTAAGGAAACAAAATTGAAGCTATGGAAACAGAATACAAGAGGCTAAGCTAGAGTGAAAGGGGCATTTTCAGTTTTTTAGTTAAATGTAGAAGATGCAAGTCTTAACTTGGTTTAAATGAAATGCTTCAAGCATAGAAGCCCATGGAAAAGGGTTTCAGTCCTTCAGACAGCAGCAATTTAGCATGCTCAGTTTTACATCATTGCAGAGCTGCCAGTTCAACACCTTTTACATCACAGCATGACATGGGAGGGAGAGAATGGGATTATCAAATCTCTCAGAGCCAATTTTCCTATTGATTTATACAAAATTATACAAAGAAAGCATGTGAAATTCTGCTGTGCAGAAGTTTGAGGGTCCTATTTGATGTACAAGACAGGAGCCAAGAGATGTCTCTGGGAAGCCAAAATATTTTGGCTTTTCCCTGCACCAATTCTCACTCCTCAAAATCCCACAAACTCGGCAGATTTTAAGTAGCTTCTAAATGAAATAAAAGGTTAAAAAATAGTAATTATATATATTTGTATCTCTCAAGATAGAATGTAACGCCATAATATTTTAACACATATGAAAATAAGAATTGCATTATAAAGTGTCTGTGAGATCTATATAATAATCGACATAGTTTTTAATAAAAAATAGTTTATTTCATGTAGCAGCATCCCAAGGTAGGAGGATGAATGCTATCCCAGGACGAGCCGCTGGAGGGGGTTCGGTACCAGCTCACAGGAAAATCAAACTCCTCGACCTGCCTGCCCATGGCAAGACACGCGGTGCTGTCTGAACCCAGAGCAGCACTGCACTCTCGTGACACCTTCACGGCCCTCTCTACAGAAAAGAGAATTTTAGCCACACTTCCTTCTTAGCAGATCAACAAAATCAGAGGATTTTTAGGCTGGAGAATTCTGAACACTGAATAAGTATCAAAACATGTTGATTAATGTAGTTATCCTGATTTTCTGCTTGAAAAACTTCATTAGTCTAAACATTGATTTACTTTTACCCACAAATTGCTCAGTTAGTTTTCATGGAACTGATAAAGACAAGTTGTGGGTGTCCATTCTTACTAATATTTCTCTTTTAGTGGGCAGCTTATTTTTTCCTAGGTTTTCAACTGGTTTAAATTTCAGTGCTTAGGACAAAGTCAGGTTAAACCAACTAGTAATACAAAAAATAAACAGGGAGGTTTTACTGAAAATATTAGTATTCTCCCTTCCCACTTAATAATATGTATTTTAATAATGAACCTATTTACTTCCAGATAAATTTTCTCCAACTTCATAAAAGCAGATGGGACCAACCAGTGGGACTAATCATAATCCCAGATCTTTATAGATGTCTGGAATCTGTTAATAAGGTTTAGTAGGGCAACTTCTGTATTCATGGCTCACCTAAATTACAACCATGACTTCTTCAATAATGCCCCTTTCATTGGTGAATCAGTTATTCTTCCAACTGCAAGCAGGAGTTTCAAAGAATTTTTGGCATTTGTGTAATTCAGGTTTGTCTAAAAGGCACCCAGAGCCTCTGCCAAGCTGCTATTGGCAAAGGCAGAGCTGTGGATCTGTTACTGCTGATGGATTTGCTGTTCCTTCAGTGCTGGCAAGGTGTTTATGATCAGGACCCAGAAACTCATCCCCTGTGTGATCTACAGGAGGTTTATCAGTGTGATGCCAGTGTGTGCAGCTTTCCTTCAGGAACTGGCAAAGGGGGGCAGACAGGGTCCAGAGATGGAAAGAGGGAAGCACTGAACACGAGACTCCTAATTATGAAATTTGTAACAGGAGAGCAGCTGCCAAGGTAATGGCATTTGTTAGGAGTCACTGAAAGAGACCTGGTGCTTTGGACAATTGTTCTGCTGCTGTCCAAACATCATACAGTGCTGTAAACATACCAATGCAGTAAAAAAATTTAGTGGAAAA